GATAGATAGATAGATAGATAGATAGATAGATAGATAGATAGATAGATAGATCAACAGTCCCACTTCATTAAAGCACTTCACACTGAGTTTAAATCCGCTCCTTGATTGTTTGCCGCTACCATGTTATTGTTTTACATCAGTGTTACATTTGGAGACTCAGAGTGTGATGTCATGGTGACATCACAGCTGAATTAACACATCAAAGACTGACATCAACCAGTAACTTGACCAATGTAACACTGTGGTCAGAAATGGACTGAACTCCATAAAGCGCCTTTCTGCAATGTGCTATAAGTTAATGTACCTTATTCACCCATTCACACACACACTCATATATCTGGGAAACAAATAGGCACCAAAAAGAAAACGTCTGTAACTTTTAAAGTGAAGCTTATAAATGTTTACTCCTGATGTTCAGGATATAAGGAAGCACCAAACCAGCGTCTGTACTTTAATGCTGAGTGTTTTCAGCTACTAAAGCCTGTAACACTGTTACTGTAATATAAATACTGACATTTAACATGTAATCTGTGTCCATAATAACCACATCCTGAAAAGTAGATGTGACCGGAGGGTTTTCTGAATAAAGAGCACAAACATTTACTCTCAACTGATTTTGATTGTTTTTATATTCATATATATATATATAAATTTCATTATAACAAATTCAAGACTTGGAATATATTATTTCCCTGGTTGACAAAAAGGGCCGTACATGAACATCACCTTGCTCAAAAAACAAAACCAACACTCACAACAAATTACAGTATTACTTTATTCTGGCCCCAACAAAATATTTCGGCCCAATAAAAGAATTCAACTATTTACTAATTCAAAATAAAGATTTTAAAAAAATAAAGAATTTAACATTTTTTTTAATACTTCATTTTTTTATTTTAAATTTAATAGGTATGTTTTCAAAGGGAGAATTAAGTTCTTCTTTCCTTGAGAAAAGGGGAAATTCATAGTCAGTGTTCACCTGAAAAAAAGAGGTAATTTATTTTGAAAGTCAGTTATGTCTAAAGAAAAATAACACCGATATTTCCTTTTACTGGCTCTTTATTTCCCCAAACTGGTTCCAGTAAGGAGCTGTCCAGTATGAAACATGATAACAGAGTCTGTCAGGGTCAGCGGTCAGACGTCCAGCCACTGCTGCTCCTCTTCCTCCCCACGGAAACACCTCCTCTTCACACCGTGGTCAAAGCGGGTCTCCTCGTCCCTGACCACGTCCCCTGTGGCCTGAAAGAGCAGGACGTGCCCGTCTCCTTCTGGAAGGGTCACTATGCAGTGGCGTGGCTGCACATTAAGGTTATTTTTGGAGCGTCTGATCCATCTGCCTACGGTTTCCAGAGACAGAGACACTCACAGGGGTTATGTTCATGTTTGGATGGATTTTACTGTGCTCAGACACGTGTACATACCTTTTCCTTTCTGGCCTCCCAAACCCTTCACAGCCAGACCTGACCGTTTCTGCGTGGTCAGTCCCCTGACGATGGCCGGGTCACTTTGTGCCTGTGCTCTGCTGAGGGCCTCCACTTTGCCACTACGTCCTCTGGACGGGGAGGATTGGCCTGTTTTTAGGATCTGCATCCAGGTAGATGGAGTCAGGACAGATCCAGGTGTAGTACGCATCCAGCATCTGCAGACAAACAAAACAGATGTGTAAGTGTGTGCTGGTTCCTGCAGGTGTTCCTGTGTTTGATGGGGAGGCGGGTTAGCTTGTACTAAGTGGACTTACTGCAGCCTCCTCCATGGTGAGGGCAAACAGCCGAACACAGAATACATCTTTCCTCTACTCGAGTCACGTCCCAATCTTTGATATCTTCCCCCCCAAAGTCACAATGGCCTGACTCCAGAACTAACATTCTCCTGATCCGTTTCATATAGAAAACAAATACAAATGTATAGAAAAAACAAATACAAATAAGTGTAAAATATTCTGTTACAGTCTTCCCCTGCTACTAGAAGAAACATCCACGTTTCAAGCAAAAATCTGTAAAAACATATCAGCCTTACAATAGATACTAAGGCAAAGAATCCTTGTGCCTGTCTCCCACAGCAGGTAACTATATGGACAGGTATGATACAGAACCTTAGGAAATGTAACAAGTGTGGACCAGGGAAGAAAAAAAACAGAACTAAAACAAATATGTAGAAAACCAATAAAATTGTGTAAAATATTCTGTTATAACCTCTTCTCAGACTAATATAATCCGTGTAGGCTGCTCCCCCCACAGAGACTGAGCTCTTAACACTTCCCGTTAGTCCTCCACCGCTCCCGGTCTCTGGAAGTGACCCAGGATCAGGACTGCTTCACAGTAAGAGCAGAAGAGTGTCTTTTCCTCTGAAGCCACGTGGTCACCTTCCATCAGCCTCCCATAAATGGACAGCATGTCCCTCCTGGGCCTCCGTAGGACTGCCTGGCCCTCGTGAAGGCTCCTCTGACCCTCATGGGACCGGTCAGACCTAGGATCACACACAAGACAACAATGAGGGGACAATGACACACACGTCTGCATCACATAAGCCCTGATGTACTGCCAGCACATAAGTCCCATCA